GTAAAAATTATACAATTAACCACCCTGTGAACAATCTTCCCCCCATTTTTATGACTGTGGAAACTAATATGTTATTGTACATAATATTTAGCATCTATAGTGATAAATTCAACTTGCCGAAACAAAAAGTCGCGTCCAACTCTATATTTCCTGGCCTAATAAAACGTGTACACTTTTTCGCGAAAAACTCTGTACATTTTAAAAGTCATAGATCTATATTATTTACTCATAGACGCTTTTGGTTAAGATTAGATAAAATAGCCGAGTGATTGGATAGGCGATTTTGTTACATACAAATTGTGATGTTATCATTCAAGTAAACAATAACTTCATTGAGAAAGACGTCAATTCAGTTACAGTATATTGATTGATAAATAGTATTATCATGCTTATAATTCACAGTTAAGTTCAATTATCTTGATGCGATTATTTTAAGAATGAGATAGTAAATACAAGTGCCCACATTTCAACGGTCTTTGCAAGTACATTTTTATCTTATCATGAAAAGCTTTGTAAAATAAAAAATATACGTCTCCTATCTCCTACATTTTTATCTATCATGAAAAGCTTTGTAAAATAAAAAATCTGACTTATCTGTTAATTACGTATACTCTTTTTTACCTATTTTATATGAATTGAAGAAATATTTTATATTCCTTAGTATTATAAATATTTATATATTTAGGATATCCAACCAAGATATTATGCATTATTCTATTTCTTTTTTGTCTTTAACAAATGTATTAATTAATTCATAATTCTTCGATATCAATTAGATATGGATTACGTTTTCAGAATGATGAATGTTTTAAACAGTATTTAAATTAAATTTTTATGATTTTAATACATGATTGTGCAATTTTAGTAATGTCCCCGTAATATGTAGTTTTGTTGAAAATGGTTGTGGGTTTAGAACATTTTCTTTTGTAGAATTTGCCGACGTTACAACTATATTTTTAATCTTCCTCAATGCTATTCTACTATAAAATAAATACAGTTATATAAATTCAAGCCTCAACAAAATAGATGCCGTACACTGTCATGGTCAATACACTGGTGACATTAATCAACAAAAGAGCAATATAATTTTTCAAATTTTGGGAATACGAAAACGATCTTTGCTATTTTGCTTTGCTTTGCTAAGAAAAAAATTTGTTTTAGATAGATGTTTAAAAATGCAGCCTGCTAAATAATAATAATAATATGCCGCCTTCTCTCCCACACAAGTCTCCGACTTCTGGGCTAATTATCGTAGTTAGAATGTGGGGTAGAGATTATTATTAACGGAGTCACAAATCAAACTAATAAGTCTTTTGTTGCACTCACTTGATAGGTAACAGTAATGTTGCATATTTAGAAAATTGTAAAATAGTAGTTGATAGCCTTGAAGGGATATTAAAAAAAATAAGGATTCTGTATTGCCTTAACGAAGACAAACTATACCTATGTTTAACATGTAACAAGTTTGAATTAATTCAGTGAAAATGGATTGTCAAAAACATTTGTTTCATTTTCAAATACTGCCCTTAAATTTGCAAATTACAGTTATTTTTTGCAATGATGGATGTGAGTGAGGAAACCAGAGTATGGATTTGTTTATGTCTCATTTCTTACAACCAAGAAAATTCTACGTTGATAGTTGTTTTTTTTATTAAGAGCAATTATTGAACAGTATCTCTATATCAACCGATGAATACAGTACACACCCCATAACAAGGGGAAGTAAATTATGTGTAGTACCTACTTACACAAGGCATGCAAAATGAACAATTTCCGGCGGCACATATGATGACGGTAATTGACAAGAAATGCAAGACGCTGACTCTAACATATTTGAAAAAGATAAAAGCTTTTAGTAAATTCATATTACAATTTTGGCGTGGTAAAGGAAAGTAATCGTTAATGTCTTAAAAGTGAGTTTTCTTCTACCAGGAAAAACACAAAAAAGTGAAAGAAAATATTTTCATACGATAACTTCATATAATTTAAAGCCTAACAAATCACAATTTTGAACTATTTTTGACACAGCGACAGTTCCAATAACAGCAATTCTGTAGATTGCTTTAAGAAAAGACGATCCTATGACATCTGAGATACAGCGTTAAAATTTCTCAAAAAAATTTCATATATGTGCAAAATACAGGGTGCATGCGGCATTAGTGGTACAGGGTATTACGTATTACCAGGGTGAACCAAACATACTATTTTTTAAATGGGACATCCTATATATTATTATTATTAACTCGAGCACATAATTTTCTCATTTTTTTTTAAATAAATTACCTTGTATTTCTGATATATTTACCATTTAATAACAAAAAGAGAGTTTTTAAAAAACTCCTAGGTATTATAACAAGTTGGCCGTGGGTAAACGACAGTGTGACAAATTGTTATAAAACATTACAAAACATCCGTTGTTAAGACGAAACTCTTATAATATTAACCAACTTGTTATGACATGAATTTAAAAAAAAACTTATTTTTGTTATTAAATGGTAAATATATCAGAAATTAATTATTTAGCTATAGGGAATGCTTTATAAAAATGAAAGAACATAAAGTGTATTTTCAGTTTTTAAAATAAAATACAGGGTGATTCATTAAAAAAAAATTGAGAAAATTATGTGCTACAGTTTTGGCTCGCCCTATATTCAACTGTTGCAATAATAAAGAAATAGCACTTTCTCGTGAAACTGTACCAGTATCAAAAAGTTATGCCTGCAAAAAATTATTGTTAAGTTGTTCTGTTTAGGGTATAGGTACAGGACGCTGAAATGGGAATGATTCTCGTATATAATTGAACATAACTTTTTAAATACCCTGTATAACACAATTAAACCATATATTGGAAGCATGGTAGAGATGAGGTTAATCTAAATTTGAATTAATATATAGGGCGTCCCATTAAAAAAATAGTATGTTGGTTCACCCTGGTAATACGTAACACTCTGTATATACGAACTTAATTTTAAAATGTGCAGTTTTAAGTTGGCTACAATTTTTGTAAATAACTTTTTTTGATATCTTCTATAATAACAGAGATATCGTACTTCGACGCACTAATGCCTCACCCTGTATATGGGCAAATATATGACCAAACCAGTGCAATTTTTAATTGTGTTGTTTCAGCAAAACTTAAAGATAATACGTATTGTATAAATTAATAATTTTTGTTTTGCGTTATTCAATTTGACATTTTATACTGAAATATGAAATAAGGATAAAAAGAATACAAAAAACTAACAACAGAAAAACAGAATTTAACCTCAAATCTCTCCTGAACTATTTGGAATATGAGTTTTTTTTTCTGTTTTTTAGTAATTACAATATATAAAACTGGCTGTTCTCTGAATGTCAAAGATAGTAGAGAGCGCAGAGTGAAAAACAGAAACATTTTAATTTAGAATATTACAATTCGTAGAATTTATCGCAGCAGGGGCGCACCTTGAAATTTTCTGCTAATTTCTTTCTAGAATGTCGAATGCGGTTAATTCCAAGAAAGTGAAGAAGAGGTCTTCTTGGAATTCTATGTCAACAAATATCGTTCGGACTATACCATCGGAGCTATGATTTTATCAATGGTTTTTTACTATACATAATTAATAATAATTAAGAAAAACATACAAATACATACAAAACAAACTTACAAATCACACGTCCACTATCGTGGATCACAGACAAATCTCCAACCAGTATGTCCGTCAGCTAGCGGCTAGATGTTTGAATATTGTTCTGTAGAAATTATAATTTATTAATACGTATGCTTCGGATAATTGAGAACGGTTGGAGAATATTATAGAAACAGACCAGTGTTTAAATGTAGAGTTTTGAAATACCTACAACTCCTAGTTATCGTCATCCATTTGGCTGACATATATAAGTAATCAAAAGCCTCATTTAATCTACATTCTCAATAGTATATTTCATAACATTCCTCTTCAGTATGGATTTTATTGTATGTAGGTACTGTTTGCTTCATTGCTATTTGATACACATTAAGATGACTTTAGAAGAGTATGAGCAAAATAATAAACTATGTCATTTTCTACTTTTAAGATGTAGGCAGGTATATTATTTTGCCCTTAACGTACGATACATTTATTTTACAATCTAAATAAGAATATATCTACAGAAAAATTGCATAGACGGTTAAGCATCACACATAACATAATAATCCACAGCATTAAGATAAAAATTGGGAGGAGATCTTACGATCAATAAACATATGGTTGTAAAAATATCTAGTACAGAATAATTCATTATAACTCATCATTAGTATATACGAGTAAATGAATATTCGACCGTTAATTATTTTGGAAGTGAGAGTCCTCATTGAGTATTAAATTTTCCATTTTATTCAAAACAGAGCTATTTTCTAGTTGTTTCTTTTATTTGAAATAAGTTAAGTATAGCTGAATAAGTCGATAGTAACTTTACATCTATAATAAAAAATGTATAGAAAATTTTTGTTGCAAATACAATATACATATCCATTAAAATTTTTTAAAAAATCTGTGGGGTGAAAATTTTCCACCTGTTGTCCTTCACAAATTTTCTACGTTACTTATTGTTGGTCACTTGTTAATGTTTACTTGTATTTAAAAATAAATTTACAATAGAAAAAAAGTCTTGTAAATTTTTCTGTAAACTGAACAGCTTTAAAGCAATTTTTTATTTATTTATTTGTGACATAAACATATTTTAAACCAAATAGACAGTATTTTTCTTTGAAATATAAATAAGTTTTTATCAAACTTCAAAATAGTCAACGTCATCCACGTATTTTGTACTTGCAACTTATAAATGAAGTGATGTCAAATCCCTTTATAGATTTCTAAGATAAGATCAAGAGATTTCATTTTTTTTCAAAATTCTAACGCATTGTGTTTACAAAACAAGACCTTCTGGGACAAAATTGAATAGAGCAAACTACAGCAACTAAAGGGAAATCACCCTGTGTATTATATTCATCATTAATAATACCAACTTTTTTATTGCAGGTAGAATTTTGGACATTCCCTGTAAAGTATGCGGTGACTTTTCATCGGGGAAACATTACAATATTTTCGCTTGCGACGGTTGTGCGGGATTCTTTAAACGATCTATCCGGAGGAACCGACAGTATGTTTGCAAAGCGAAAGAGGAGGGGACCTGTGTCATTGACAAGACCCACAGGAACCAATGCAGGGCTTGTCGGTTACAAAAATGCCAAGAAGCGGGAATGAATAAAGATGGTGAGTACCGAAGGCTTAAAATAAAAAAATGTTTTTTGTATTGTTGGTACAAACAGCAAAAAAACAAAACTATTTTTATCATGTAGATATGTATGTAGTGATTGTTGTAATTAAATTTTAAATAACTAATTTGTTTAAACAAATATCGTGTTTTATACCAGTTTGTTTTACAAAAGTGTTTTCTAAATCTACACATTTTCCAAAAATGTGTTGAAATTATAATTTTTATGATAATTTAGTATTTGACTGTTTTATAGGTATATTTTGTAAATTATATAATAAAATAAGTAAAAAAAAACAATTCACATTAATCTAATCATACTGTCAACACTTTTATCATTGTTATTTCAAAATTCGATTCCTTCTAAAAGTTTTATGTTGTGTTCGCTATGTGTTTTTCAATTAATGTGTAAACATTTCATTTTTAATTTTTATTTTAAACAATTGCTATCTATTTACTTAAACATTGCTGGTATAATTAGTCGTAGCATGTATCCGTAGAGTAGTTTTCCGCAATATCATCATTTCTTGTCCACAAGATATATGACTAAATTTTTGGTATCAAAAAACATTTTTTGACTTAATTTGACATGCTTTCAAAGAATTTTAGGATATTTTTTTTCATAACTTTAAAATCAAGTAAAAATAAATTTTGTAACCCTTGATATAAACATTGCTAGACTTTCATTTAAATTTAGAAAGCCGAAAAACTCTTAATTGTTCTACGTACTGTTTTATATTCCTTAATCTAGTATAAATTTTAAAGTTTCTTATCGACATCTAAAAAGCACCAATTTTTTTAATATCCCCTTTAGAAAAAATTCTAATTAAATTACATACAGGGTGTTTGGAAACAAAATTTTAGGACGTGAAAGTAGAGCCAAAATTAGTAAAAAAAGTTCCTATATAAACATTGGTCCTCCGGAGCACCGTTACTGAGATATGGCCCTCTAAAGGCGACTTATCATTTGGATAATTTTTAAAATAACTACCATAAACAGAAATTTTTTTAATATTTTTTATTCCTTTGAATTATCAAGCAAATAATATTATTTTTTAATGAATTAACTGTTTTGAAGAAAAAGTTACTGTACTTTTTTTCGAATTCTGCGTAGTTTAGTCAGAAATAATTATTTTTTAAATAATGTATGGTTCAGAACAGTATTTTTTTTTAACATTTTGCACGTAGTAGGCCAGTTTCATTGTAATGATACTAATGATTGTCACTTTCGCGTGATATCATTTAAATTCTTACGTTTCTTTATTTTCTTAGTTGTGATCTTTGAGCTTGACTTTGCATTTCATTCGATTTTTTTACAACCATGAACCATGAGTAGACGCTCTTCTTACAGTCGCAGTAGAATTACGTTAAAAAAATCCGAAAATTACTTTGTCTAATAATGCCTACGCCTCCTTGGACGGCCAAATTCACGATATCTGTATCTTGGAGTTAGGCTCCTGATTCCATCGATCTTGAATGAATTTCCCAAAAAATTTTGCAGAAAGTTGTCTTCTATCATGGAAACGTGGTCGATATTCTTTTTGACCCGCCAGACTATTTCCATTACAGAAACCATAAATAAAATGTATGTCGGCATATTCACGGTAAGTAAAAGCATGATAGTTCATGGTTGTAAAAAATCGAATAAAATGTAAAGTCAAGCACAAAGATCGCAACTAAAAAAATAAAGAAACGTAAGAATTTTTTAAATGCTAGCATGCAAGTGGCAATCATTAGTGTCATTACAATGAAACTGTCAACATAAAAGATGCCTACTATGTGAAAATGTTTAAAAAAGTTACTTTAAAAAATAATTATTTCTGACTAAACTATGCAGAATTCGAAAAAAAAGTAGGGTCATTATTTCTTCAAAAAAGTCTAATTAATGAAAAAATAATATTATTTGCTTGGTAATTCAAAAGAATACAAAAAATTCGTAAAATTTCTGTTAAGGGTAGTTAGAAAACTATCCTTATTTAAAACTGATTTTGATGAAACTTATGATAATTACCTATAGACCCTTATGGTATGATTATTACCTACAATTCCATTGACTTAATCAGAAAGAAAGTTATTTTTAAAAATATTCAAATTATAAGACCCCTTTGGAGGACCATATCTCAGTAACGGTGCTCGGCAGGATCAATATTTATAGGAACTTTTTTTGCTATTTTTGACTTTACTTTCACCTCCTTAAATTTTGTACCAACTTTTCCAAACACCCTGTATATTAAACTCCCCTACTTATAGAATGATGAGGATATCGAATCACTATTGCACAAATATTGGTTTTTCCACAATTTCTCATACTATCACAACATGCCATCACACTACAATCACAAGGAAACCTTTTGTAACGCACGAATCGCAAAACGAGTTTTGTTATTGTGTTAATTTATCTTGTTTTATTTGTACTATGTTTGCATTAGCTGCCCTTTTGTCAAATATTTCTTGATTATAAGCAAGATGTACAGTACTTTATACAGGATAGTTTTAAATTATCTCAGACATTTTAAGTACAGGTACTACATGTTGATAAGTGTACTTTTTTGTATAAACATTTCCCTACTAATGTCACACGATTCGAATAATTTCAATAAAATAAGTACGTACTTGTTTCATAGCTTGAAATTTGTATTTAGTGAAAAAAATAGAAACTGCAAAAACCACGTCTAAATTTAAAATATAAATAAAACATCGAAAGACTTGTAAGATATTCCAAAACATATAATATCTACTCTACTCTCCACATTTATTATTAATTTTCGACAATGTTTATATAAACAGATACTTACTTTTACTTTTTGATGTACCTACAACTCATAGAAATATAGACAGACAACTGATAAAAATGTATTGCCACCCTGTATATACAGTCCGTTCCTTGTTGAGATAGCGCCTGCGTCACTTTCTTGGAATTAACTGTATTCGACACCTTAGAAAATAAAGACATTGGCGGCGTAGCAGCTTACAGTGCATACTGTGCTTTGCAGTTACGAAGGCGTGTTTCTTCGTAAGTGTATCGGCCTGTGCATTTTCAGTGTAATTTCTTATTAAAATAAATCAATGTAGAGCACATTTTAATAAAAAAAAATCTGGTTTATATATATTGTATATATTTTAATATTCTGGAAATAATGTGGAAAATTTCAAGGTACGCCCTTGCCGCGGTAAATTGTTACAGTAGTTTCGATAACATAACTTTATTAGCTTATCCTTTTCTTGGAATTCTATCTCAACAAATATTGTACGGACTGTACATTAGTGGATAATATTTACGGGCTTCTCTTGTAAGTACCCTAAACAAACAACCAATTAAATAAATACATTTCAGAAGGCGTCAATTGTACTTAAAATTTGTCTGTGTTAATTTAGGGGTAATTCAAACTCCGGATAAGTTGGATACATTTCAGAAAACATTGAGTAAAATTCAGTTATATCTTATTTACTCTCTTTTAATAATACAAAAAAGTGTTTCAACAAAAAACCGTTCTACTGCATTACCTTCAGAAATGGATTTCTATCTCTATATTAAATTTGATACAGGCACATGCAAAATTTAATTTTATTGAGGAATGTTATAATTTGTGACTTTTTCACATTTTTTGTTACTTTTTGGTTATTATTATAATGAACTGTTCAAATTTTGAGTATTGTTTAATGTAGAATTTATCTAAATAATAGAAAGTAGTTACAAGATGTATAAATTAATTTTTTTGTCAAAGAAGCCATAATTTTTTGGAAACATGATCATAATATCAGCATATGATTTATGTTTACCAATGATAAAATAAGTAATGAAAAAACATACAAATTTATAAAAAAAAAAACACTAAAAAATCTATAAAAGTAATTATCCAAAATGTCACCCATTTCACTGGGCAGATAAACATATTTGTTTATGACCGTAAAGAATTTCGAGTGTATTTGTCTGAAAGCTTGCTTTTTTAAATTTTGTGTATCTTACATGGTGTGGTGCGAGGAATAATCACAAATTAGATTTTTAGATCGCAAAATCTGGCTAGCCAATTAAAAGGCTTCCATTTACATGAAAAACTTTAATCTAAAACGGTAATTTTAACTATTTTGCATTGGAAACAGTGTTATTATGTGACGTTCACAAACTATAAAACGGAAGCCCATATACCTACCCTAAAATAAATTAGGTTTATTTTATTTGTGTCAATGTTTCATTAAAAAAAAAATATTTATTCATGTCCTAAAACTTAAAACTTGTGGAATCCATAAATACAATTTTTTTCTTTGTAATACGTGAAATGTGTCTTTTGATACTTTGACAAGTGAAGAAAATTGCATCTTGCTGTCACATTAGGTATGTGTTGATTTTTAATATTTTCGAGGAAAAATAAAAAAATCAAATATCACCGAAACCAATATTTTTTTATGAAAGTAGGCCGTAAATTCAACCAGAAGTTAAAAAATGTAATAATCTATACGATGTTCCATTTGACAAATTGAAGTTGGGTAACACGCAGAAAAAATAATTTTAAAATGCGAAGAAATTGATTTGGTGCCCTTTTATTTAAAACACTTTTTTGTATTGTTGATATTATCAGAACTATAAAATATATCTCAAATGGGAACATTATAAGCTGTCAGAACTGAGCCGCGGGACATAGACGTGCGCATTATTTATTCAAAATCAGCAAATTAAATTGTCTACAATACACCACCATAAACCTCAACGGATCGGAAATGTAACAACCGCACGATAACAAAGACAACAGTATACTAACGTGACATGAACGTGAAAAGCATTCTGAGGCAGCGGCTCACGCATATCTCGGTTGACCTGCTTGGCACGCCATTGAATTGCGGCTCTTTCTCTGACAGCCTTAGTTGTAAGTATTTCTTAAAGCTATCGAACAACTTTATACAAAAAAGTACCTAGCTTAATCAGAAAAAAAGAATCATGTAACAAATACTGTTTTATGTTGTGCGCACTAATAATAAATAACTGTCTGAAATACATTTGAATCTTCTTAAATTCTGAAACTTAATTAACGTTTTGTGAAATAGAGCCGACTAATCTGAAACACCAATAATGTATTCTGAAGTTAAGTTAACGGTTGCTGATGTGCTTTGAAATAATAAATAAGTAGCAGTAGATTTTCAAAATTAAGGTATAATAAAGTACACATTTATTTTTAAAAATAAACGTCAACTTTTTTCTTTCGCCAATTATTGCACTGAAATTCTTAGAAATTGAATTTAAAAAATATGAATTCATTTAAAAATACCACGACAACTTTAACTCTCAAACAATTTCAATTCATCGACAATTCTGGTCACCAAAAGGTATTGTTAATGTCAACTAGCTTCTCTTTTGTTTACTTCTACGGTTTCTTCAGACCATTGATTTAGAGTAAGTTTAAATTAAGTGTTTCGCTCTCGAAATGCCACTCACTGCGCTTATAAACGCCGCTGTTTCTTAACTTGTGCAACAGTTTCAAGATCTGAACAGAGTCTTAACGTTAAACAACGCACAAGAAGCACTCTCAAGAAAGCGTAACTTTTAACTTTAGCACACTTGTGCGGCAGTAGCCACCAGGTGTGATAATATTTTTCAATATGAGTTTGTGTGCCCTAATTTATTTTCTTTCGACATTGAACGTGCTCTTGTATTAGGGTAGCCTGGGCTCTTGGGGTTTGTTATTGACGGTAATAATGTTTTTACAGCGGTCCAGCACGAGAGAGGACCTCGGAATTCAACACTGAGGAGACAACAAATGTCGAGTTTTTTCAGCGAAACCCGAGAGCGGATCATGGTTACCCCACCTGGTGGAGTTTTGAATTTGACTATGCCGAAAGACGCTACTATGTTTCCCTTAATTCCTCCGGCAACTTTTCTATGCAATACCATGTTGACAATGCCAAGGGTAAGTTTATATATATGATCTATAAATAATTTAATCATAGACAATAATTATGCATTTCGTTCAAAATAGGGATAATTTACATTACGCCCCAAGGGAAAGAAAAACTTTTACACAGTTTGTTCACGGATGAAGTTGAAAAGAAGGAAAACTTATTAAAAAATGCTGCCTGTGTTCAGATATATACGAATATAGTTTGAAATGAAAGAAACATATACATGGTGTTCTCTACAAAGAAATGATTTGAATACCTTACCCATACCTTAATCATACGTGTAAACGACAAAAAAGTTATAAGTTGAAATTTTTGCATTTTGAGAAACGATTCTGTATGATAGAAAAGTCATTTGTAGCATATTTCTGAAAACTTTTGTGCTTTGTCGAAAAAAATACATATTTTCATAAAAGGTATAAAAAAATTGTCGAGAAAAGTTTTCCGCGATAGAAATGTATGTCCTTATACCAAAGTCGAAGATAAATATAAAATTAAAGTCGATTGCCAACAAATTCGGCACAGTAAATTTTAATTTAAACTAATTCTAATAATGGGGTCATTCAGTAAAATTTCAAAAACGTTCTTATTTTGTATACACAAAGTGTTGCTCATGATTTGGCGATCCTGAAAATTCTCAACACAATCCGTTGAGCGGTTTTCAAACTATATTTAAGGATTTTGCGTTTAATTGGACAAAACCGTTTCTGTCACAGGTTTCAAAGATTTACCTAATCAAATACAAAATTCTCATTACTGGGAAACAATACCTACAATATTTATAATTTTTTTTCTGTTCTGTATCTTCCATATTGCTAACAAAATTCGGTATCTTAACATACTCAATCGAAAAACAGGCAACTAAAACCCAAACTACCCGACTAAACTTTCTGACAACACACGCAAGTATGCGGCATCGGTTTATGATTTTTTTTATGACTTGTAGGCGATATAAAATTCTATTTTTTTACAGAGAATCTTCAAATTGCAATATCTTTCCGTTGAGCAAATAAAAGAATTTGATGTATGAGCACGTTTTCGATCTCTTAAACAAAAAAGGGTACTTGCACAGGATGGGGGAATAGAAAAATCAAGTTTGGCCGATTACTTTCATATTTAGAACGTGGAGAATAAATTTTATTTCTGAACAACTTTTTATAATAAAGTTTTTGATATAAAATGGAAAAGGCACTTTACTTATAAAAAATAAGTTTCGCTTGAAAATCTATTTATATTAATTAAAAATACGTTACAGAATTTTTGTTAACAAAGTTAACGAAGCAGATTCGTTTCCAAAATATCAAATGTCAGCTTAAAAATTTCCTGCCAACACCAACAATTAAGAAAATCTGAGGATATTCTGTACGTGCTAAATGTTGTAAAGTAATTAACTATTTATGTGTTTTTTAATTAGCATTGTGTTATTATAATAAACTCCACTAGGTATAGACTGGTTACGGTTGACACAATTTAGCTTATATCGTCCATAGCATTGTCATTAATAAACCGAGCGAAGATGAAAATATGCTAACAGTGGCGGCTCGTGACATTGAGAATAGGTGTAGCATATTCATTGATTCACTAAAAAGAAAAAAAAGCGCCGCAGGCAAAAATGTTCAAATTTTCAATGTCAAACGGCTTTAAATGAATCTGGAAATTTTTAGTTGCATTTGCAATATTACCGAAAAACTAAAGTTCGCGAGAAGGATTTTCATTTAGATTTTATTAAAAATAGAAATACAATTAAACACGGCATACAGATTTTTTTTTAAATATATACTTCCGTCTTTTGACTTCCCCTTTTTTCAACATCGAGAGAAGGCACAGGTCTTTCGCAATTTAAAAAATCCTTTTTGTTCTGAAGTTTCCATCTGGAAAATGGCGTTTCCAATAAAATACATATTGGATCATACATAGGAACTATTTCTACAATTATTGATGCAAACCAAATATTAACAAAGAACCGCTATAATCGTGCACTCTGCGACGTATAGTATAAACTGTTAAAGGCAGGCGATGGGTGATGGCGATGCTGCTTCAATTTCGCGTCACTCGTTCCCCCACGCCGTAGTTTACTTACGTGTTGGCCGCCTCGTTGCCATGAAAACCGCCGTAAACAACGCTACGAAGTGCAGCGAAATACAAACTGATTTCGATCCGCGTCCTTGCTTATGCTATACGTTGTATGGTACGCGCTCAACGAAGGCAATGGTTTTTAGAAGGCGGTCGTCGCGCAACTATACTGTTTATTTCGCGTATAAAACAAACAAACACAGTACATTTTCAATATACAATTATACCTAAATTATAAAATTTATATAAATTAAAAATAATTTTAAATTCCAAACGGAAATTTTAGGTGAAGCGGTGCGTCACTTGAAGTCTTTCTTACACGTAACCGCGGCATCTAAAAGACAAGAAAATTAAATAAATATTTATAATGTTTCAACCGTCCACATCCCTCCATTAGGTACAAAACAATTTATAATAACGGTAACTGCCATTTTCCACAAGCTTTATTTCAAACAAAAAAAAACATTCAATATTCTCACTTTAATGAAAGTCATAATAATTGCAAAAATTTTGCTTAAACCACAACAGCGCCTCCTATAAATAACCGCAGCGCGCTGTGAACGACGCAACACTCAAGTTCGTACTTGGATTTGTCCTCTTCGTGTGCTCCTCGTACTCCCCATCTTACCACAGACGATTGCGAAATATTAACTCTATTTCAACCATCCTTTGTTTCAATCGTACCCAGTCTACCCTACTCTATTTCCGTCCATTTTTAATACGGGACACGGGCTGTATTGTCTCGATTAAAACTACATTTTTGTACATTTGAATACAAGCAGAAATTTTTAACAAGAATGCCTTTTTCATAAAACGAAAAATATATGTATTTTTTCTTGTTCTCAAGTGCATTAATGGACACACAATACATTACCCCATGGCACTGGGCCAATGCTAACTTGATTCATTCACTATGCAGTACTACGTGGTGCATGTGCAATTGTCGTAGAATAACATGTAAATGTGAAAGGACACTATTATTGAAGTCGTAAGAAATTTGTGAAATATTTTAAATAATAGTTTGATGAAGAAAATCTCTGACATAAGTATTTATAGTTAAATAAATCTTAAATAGCAGCCAACAACGTATCTAGAATAATCTGCGTTTTCGACGTCCAAAAATGTGGACAATAGAAAATATTAATTTGTTTTGCAGGTAGTTGTCAGTGCCTGAACAATTACCTGACTAGTTGCCACGTCGCCGGTTTGAATTCCTTGACGTATCGCTCTCTTCTTCAGAAGAAATTTTTAAATTGCATATTAAATCTGGTTATATTTATTTTATGTTTGAAGTCATTGGTCTGTGACATTCCACTTCATGATTTACTTTGCCAAATAGAAAAAACTCAATCTCTCTGTAGAGTCTCGACCAAAATATTCTCTTATTAGAATTCTACTTAATGAATCTAAGTACCTAGTGACTTCAGTGACCTCAAATCATGCACTGAAACGCCATGAACCAGTGCACACAGTAATACCTGTCAGAGGTCTTAATTTTTTTTAATTTCTTCTGAAAAAGATAGATATCTTGAAACGTCAAGAAGTTTACATCTACGATGTGGCAACCAACCTAAAAATAATTGAACCAGAAGACATTACTGACAAAGCTATAGCTTTATTCTTTTGGAATGTCTGAGATGTTCCATATCCAGTAAAGGGGTTGTCTGTAACAAGTACAGAAAGAGTCAGCATCATATCTTATCTAAGATAATACTCATCTTCATATCGTCTCTCATAGAATGGCTACAGTTCAAAAACTGTTCTTCCATTTTTGCTCTTCCCTGCATGTGGATCCTTAAAAGAGGGGAAGAACATTTTTGTTTTGATGGAACAATGATGAAATCACGGAAGCTGTTCGGTAGTAGCTATATCGGCAATCGGTTTGTTTCTTCAGGTGGCTTCCTTGCGAATAGAGTACATGAATAGATCAAAATAATATATAAAAAACAAACTTTTAGAAAAAAATACAATTTTAACTGTCAGTGTGAGAAGTGTTGATAATATGATGATTAATAGTATATTAGATCTAGGTATGGGTTATATTAACGTGAATTGGTTTTTCTTTTATTTATAACCTCCTTTTAAAAATATTTTGTTTTATTATTAGTTTTCATATTTTTCTTCATTATAAAGATATTAAACTTTCAAATGAAGTCAATGTTCTTCGATACCAAAAATCTAGGTATGTAAAAGATTGTACCTCATATTTGGTATCGATGAATATTGACTTTGAATTGAACTTTTTTAAATTTACTTATTTACAGTCAAGTTAAAAATTGGACAGTGTTATTATTAAAATATAATATTTCGAGCCAGTTTGCTAAAAATGTAGTCACGTATGTAGATAAGAAAATATAATATATCAACTAAGTTGGAGCACCATATTAATCTAAACGTGATTTGTAATAGATTGCTACACAGATAAGATTCTCTATTTTATTGACATTCCATTATTCTTTCAATGAGAGTCAATATTTTGATTCTATGTATATATACAGGGTGTCTCGTTTAAAACTCCCCAGCTGAATATCTCGAAAACGGAAAAAGATAAATGATTTCTGAAAAATCAACTTTCAATAAATGGCTTTACTTGTGCGTACAAATCCCGTTCCTCTCAGTGCAGGTATAGATATCGCTGCAATCCGAAACCATATTTTGTTGACAGCAATTTTGGAAAGTAGAGCACATGAAAGATCTCTAAATTATAAGCAACTATTGTGATATAAACAATTTTCGAAAAACCACTATTTCCGAGATACTTGGATTTGAGGTAATTTTTTTTCCAGGAGGAAGATTTTTTAAAGTTAAAGTTTCAGGCATAACTACTGCAGATTTTCGTCGTATTAGATTGCTTTGAATAAAACAATGATGAATTAATTTTATTTAACAAATAGATATCACAGGAAATTACTTCATTTAATCTTGTTGTCGCAAATCATATTCTTTTCGATCAAGATAAAGTAATATTTATTTAACAAAAACTGATGCAAAATTAACAAAAATTACAAATAAACGATACTAAATTGACATAATACACGAGTCAAATAACTGTTCAAAATTGCCGCCTTCTCATGAATACATATTTCATACCTTTTTCTAAGTTCGGTATCAGTAGCTCGTAATAAAACAATTCGAGGAATAGATGCACAGCTCGCATAAATTTTATTGCACAAGTCAGCCAAGTCTTCAATTTCTGTTTGGTAAATTAGGTTCTTTAAGTAACCCCATAAGAAAAAATCGACTAGGTTAAATCAGGGGTGCGGGCAGGCCACCTTATTGGACCATTGGTGCCTATCCGTCGCCCCTGAAAATATTAATGAAGAATATTTTGCACCCTCCTTTCGTTATGAGCTGGTGCCCCATCTTGTTGGAACCAGATATTTTGTCTCATAACTAAAGGAACTTCTTCCAAAAGAATAGTTAGTTGGGTCTGAAGGAATTGTAAATAATTGCGACCGTTCAAATTTTCCTCATATAAATAGGGTCCAATTAATATGCCATTAATAATACCACACTATAGATTTATAGAAATCGTGGTTTGGAAATGTCTGTCTTTGGTCTATCTAGGGTTGCTGTCATGCCAGAATTGACTATTATGTCTATTCAAAATGCCATTTTTTTGTAAATCGACTCTCGTCAGTCCATATAATGTTATTTAAAAACTGGTCCTTTTCTTGAGCCTTTATTTCCATTTCGGCAATAAAATTTAGTCTTCGTATCATATCACCAGGACGTAAATTATGTAAAAGATGCACTTTGTAGGGATGATACGTATTTCGCTTCAAGATATTATGGACCGATGTTCCGGAAATCCCCGTTTCTCTTTTTGTATAGCTCGCACCGAGGTATGTGGATTAGTATCAACCGTACCTAATACCACGGCAGTGTTTCTATCATTTGTAACAGTGTTTCTACGATGCTTCTTTTTGTTAAAAAACCACAATGAAGCAAATTCGTTGATAAAGACGAAAAGGTTTTATGATCGGGATGTCGACAGTTTGGGTAACGTACCTGATAAAGTCTTTCTGCTTCGCTGGAATTTATACGGCATTCACCGAATATTAAAATTATGTCGAGCTTTTCTTCATTCGTGTACTAGACCATACTGAATAAATGTCAAATGTGTCAAAGTTGAAGGTGTAGACTTGTAGTAGTAATGGTAATAGTAATAGTAATATGTATTCAACATTGATACAGAAAACAACAGAAGGTTCAAGAAAACGACCAGTTTTTAAATAACATTATATAGACTGACTATGGATATTATTTATAATTTTTGTTAATTTTGCATCAGTTTTTGTTAAATAAATATTACTTTATCTTGATCGAAAAGAATATAATTTGCGACAAGATTAAATGAAGTAATTTCCTGTGATATCTATTAGTTAAATAAAATTAATTCATCACTGTTTTATTCAAAGCAATCTAATACGACGAAAATCTGCAGTAGTTACGCCTGAAAACTTAACTTTAAAAAATCTTCCTCCTGGAAAAAAATTACCTCAAATCCAAGTATCTCGGAAACTAGTGGCTTTTCGAAAATTGTTTATATCACAAAAGTTGCTTATAATTTGGAGATTTTTCACGTGCGACACTTTTCAAAACTGCTGTCAACAAAATATGGTTTCGGATTGCAGCGACATCTATACCTGCACTGAGAGGAACGGAGTTTGTACTCACAAGTAAAGCCATTTATTGAAACTATACAGTGGATTTTTCAGAAATCATTTATCTTTTTCCGTTTTCGAGATATCCAGCTAGGGAGTTTTAAACGGGACACCCTGTATATACAGGGTATAAATAAATAAGTGCGAAAAAATTCAGGGGGTGATACCCTGTGGAAAAATAAAGTGGGTCTTTCATATAAAAAGATCACATTTGAACATCTCATGTGAAAATACAACCGCTTAGAGAGGGTGTCAAAAAAGTAGTTTTTAATGAAAAAAATTACAGAACTGTAATTAAGTAGATATTTTCTTTTTTCGAGAAGGCACTTAGTAAACAATTTGGGTCAGGAAAAGGATCAGTCAAGGGTTATTTTTATTAAAATAGTTTTGCCTAATCAAAAATTATTATTCGGAAGAATTCAGACAAATCTGTTTTCGTTTTCTGAATTTACAATGACTTTTTGTTTTAGTTTTGATAGTTTAAATTTGTTTGTTTTTGTCTGGTTTTTAGCTAGAGATATCATGATATTAATTTTTTTATTACATACTTCATCTTTTAGATTTTGTAAACCATCAAGGATCCAAGTTCACAGAACAATTTTAAACACGTCTTTCACTAGTCCACGAAATAATTGCTGTTTCCTTTAATTTTTTTTAACAATATTATTTTCCTTTTCCAAAATCTTAGCTGAACCCCACTGAATAATATGGCCGTTTTTCCAAGCGTTATCGCAAATTTTTGATTTCTCAAAATCTTATTCTTTAAAATAATTGTGTTCATCTATGCTAACATTTACAGGTCGAGAGGTCACTCCAACCTATGCCGTTTGTTGTATTCACAAGGCATGCTATAAACGCAATTTTTTAATTATGATAATCATTATTTACTTATTTTCCTTAATATTTGAGGAATATATGGAATTTTTATTAACTAATGTTACTGAAAAAGAGTTTCAAACAAAATAATAAACAGAATAAAAATGCAGAATAAATAATATATTTTAAAAGCAAAGTCTAAGAGGACCGCTTAAACGACGTAGATATTTGAGGTACATACCAAGCAACAAATTGGAGTGCAATTTGAATTTTTATGCTCAATATTTTTACGAATTGTATAATATATTTATAGGTTATTTAGAAATAAGCACTATGAAATGGATATTTGTATGAAAGGCATGTGAAATATACACTAATAATACATTTGTTTACAGCTACCGACCCTGCCCTTGGCTCCAATACTGCCCCCAGCGGTCGTAAACCCAGCTGCGATTTGCGAGTCGGCCGCTCGCCTCCTATTTATGAACGTGCAATGGACCAAAAGCATCCCATCTTTCGCGTTGCTGCCATTTTCCGACCAACTGTTGTTATTGGAAGAAAGCTGGAGAGAGTTGTTCGTCTTAGGCTCTGCCCAATTCCTACCACTGACGGAACTATCATGCCTAGTACAAGCCTGTGGAATACTGCAAAGGGACGAAAACCATACCGCCTTCTTACAGAACGTGCAGGAATTCCAGGACATTTTATTTAATATTAGACACTTCCAACTGGACCATCAAGAATACGCTTGTTTGCGAACTATATTGCTTTTTAAGACTTGCTTTGAGAAACCTAGTTCGTCTTCCAATCCGAACCAAACCGATGTTAAGGTTTTGACTGATCCCAGGAAAGTTGCTAGTATACAAGATGAAACGCAATTGACTTTGAATAAATATATATCAGCAGCTCACCCTGGACAGCCGCTGAGGTTCGGAAAATTGTTGTTACTGCTGCCAAGTTTGAAGAATGTTTCCGGTAACACGATTGAAGAATTGTTTTTTAGGAAGACAATAGGCCATATACCTATAGTTAGAATAATTTCCGACATGTACAAGTCGCAACCTCCTAGTAATTTATAACGGTTTTTTTACTTTTAACCACTGACATTAAGACGCAAAAACTTTATAGTTACTAATTAAAGATAATTCCCTGTGATTTAACTAGCTGATATTATTGAAAGTATTACAGCTTTCTCAATATAATAGTATTAATTTTAAGATTGATGAGTTCTTAGATTTGCTCAATCACCTTATAACAACTTACTTGACAATAACGATTATTTCTAAAAAAAATATAAGAAACCTAGCTTCTATATCAACTATTGATTGTTTTGTTGTCAATCCCAGCTTTAATAGACGTCTCGGGTAACTATTTTTTGAACACCCGTAGAAAATATTTCTTATTATTATTATATTACTGTCAGATTAGCGACATATAGAAATCGTAACTTAGTAATTTATAAAAGTTTTTGCTCATAGCTACTAAGTACTGAAAACTTACTGTGATGTATATATATAGAGTAATTAGTTGAAATTCTACACAGAATTTCAACGATCTCAAGGCAATAGTGTTGATTACTGTTGGCTACATAGCTTTATTAAACCATATGATAGTATTATTATATGTATATATTTTTTATAAAATACATATACAAATGTGTATCTTTATGTAGACAAATTCTAAATTTGTATATTACGTATTACAAAATGTATAGAGCATATGTTACAAAAATACAATATTTGTGTAGCGTTTACAAAATTAAAAGTCTTATTTTTATAACGCTGTTTTATTTTAATTAATATAATTTTAACGTCAGCAATGTGGAGTATAACAATGAAAAATCCAGTTTAAAATATGTCAAACATGGAGTACCTTAAGGATTCGTAATATGACCAACACTTTTTTTAATATGAATTAATTAAATATTTTATTTGCTGATGGTACTATACAAATTTTTCTTCCTATTTAATTATGTATCTTTTCAAGAGTTGAAGGCGAAAATGGAAGAGGAATAAAATGTTTGTAATTAAATTTTTTACAAAACATGACTAGTTATAAATCGAATGAATCATGATTATTATGGTAAAAGTCGAGAAAATCGCAAAAATGGGGTTAAAAAACAATACTTTGTAGGGAATTTTTTTGGGGTGTTTAAATTGGGTATAGGACCTTTATACTTAGCTCAAGAAAACTTCATGTCGTGTAGAATCATCACACCATTTCATCAAAATCGGTTCGATAGATTTTGCATAATAATCTTGCAATCCAGATTTTGAAAAAAAAATTGCAAATTTTCAAAATTTTGCACAGCAAAAACCAAGGCCCTTAGATACTTGAAAATTTAATGACATATAGAAGGGCTCTCAAGCTTTCAAACTTTTTTTGAAAAATTCGAATCCGTCAATTAGGAGAGCTCTGGCGCTGCCAGATTTCTGCAGTAGCTACTAAAACGATATTTTTTTAAATGGCAACACCGAAAAAAATTATTTGTAAATTTTTCTTAATCAAGTTATTTCCTACAACTTTGCATTTGGAAGTACTAGTCTATTACTTCAAATAAAAAAGTTGGCCTATGTCAGATTTTAAAAAAATAACACTGTATATACAGGTTGTAGAGATTGTTTTCCTAACAGACACATACGTGTATCTATTTTTTTCAAGGTCGTATTTTTCGAATACGAAATATATATTGAAATGAAAGAAAGATTATTTTTTTAATATTAATTTTTTTTTGTAATTAAAGTATAATTCAAATATTATTTATTGTTTAAAATATAAGCAAATGAGAAATTAACTCATTATATTACTAACAATTTTCGCAATATTTTGAAAATAATTGTTGTTTAAACAATTTCAGAATATTTAAATTTTGTTTTTGATCTTTGATAAACAGTATATAAGTTTATGCACTTACCTTTGATACAATAGAAAAATAAAGTTGATAAGTAAAGGAAGTTTAAAGATAAATAATTATCGGACTGTTGAAAGACCAATTATTAACGATAGGCATTTGAAAATACGTTAATTTTAAAAAAATTATCAAAATCGGACCTCTAGAAGGTGAGATATTAAAAATTTTTAAGCGCGTCGCGGTTTTAAACTCTCCGATTTAATTTCGAGCAGGCCTAAGCGGCCGCGCTCTCTGCTTCCCCCACCACCCCCACCCATACGATTTTCTTGAATTTCTCACTAGCATAAATAACTTTAAACATCTTTTAAAGTAGGTTGCCAATGAAGAAAAATATTGTAATCTTAAACCTGGTAAGTACTCGGAATACCAAAGGTATTTTCAGAAAAATTAGCCCGGATGTACCAGTACATTTAGTGTAAATGACGGTTAACTTTGATCGGCTATAACTACGTAACTAATTGACCAATCGATCTGTTTTTTTTTTTAAAAGAAGCGTTTTTCCAAGAACTTTTAAAACCTGCTTTAAAAAATTTGATTTAATTGAATATTCACAAAGTTATTCTAATTGTTTATAAGTACAAAAATTCGACCAATGTTTAAACAAACGCCAGAGCTCTCCTAATTGACGGATTCGAATTTTTCAAAAATAGTTTAAAAGCTTGAGAGCCCTTCTATATGTGATTAAATTTTCAAGTATCTAAGGGCTTTGGTTTTTGCTGTGCAAAATTTTGAAAATTTGTATTTTTTTTTCAAAATTTGAATTGCAAAATTATTATGCAAAATCTATCTAACCGATTTTGATGAAATTTGGTAGATAAAAGCAAAAATTCACTCACTTTGAATATAATTATATCAACCAATGGGGAAGATATTTCCCTGTCTCTCCCAGAATCCCAGAATTTCAAAGCAATGATTATTTTGAAAGTTTTCGTTTATTTGATTGCTGGTATTGGTATTTGTATATCAAAAGCTTTAAATAAGTCACACGAAATGTCGTTTGGATTTAGGTCTGGTGAGCAAGATGGCTTAGAGAAAAGTATTAATAAAACGTTATCTAACATTTAAAGCAAAATGGGTAACTGTCATTATACATAAATAATATATAGGTATCTCGACTAGAAGGAACAATTTTTTTATAAAAAATAGCATGTGATACAAAATAAATACCCACCCAGTCTTGCGGTCCACTCCAGTCCAGTAATACAAAAATATATATACCTGATATATTGAAATTGTTAAGTAAGAAATATCTTGTATTTACTATTACTATCAGCCTCCATAAAGCACTATAAATCTATAAATAGATCTTTTTATTTCCGCACTTTATTGTTTTATCAGATAGCCTCTCTTCTTGTTTGGAATTAATAAATATTAACAGAAAAAGAGTAGTTTCAGTTTTTTCACAAGAACAGGATTTTTGAGAAAAACAAGGTATTTGTGTCTACCTGATATAGTAGCTAATACCAGAAAAAGAGATTATTTAGGTACACATAAAATTTCTCCGAAGGAACTACGCACACAGTGGCAGCAGATCACCTAAAAATTTTATCCGATATCGGCTTCCGTAAAAGAAACTCAGAAAGCAGGAGATTTTGTAGGTGATCGAGTCCACCTTTTGTATCTCTAATATCAGGTAAGTAAAGCCACAAAAGCCATCACTAATGAGCATTGTCCTGTTTCCAAACAAAAGTCGGAACTTCTGAACTGTCAGCACAAAACACTTCATCCCCGTATTAACTTCTACTAATAGCATACCCATTTCGCTTTTGAACATGTTGACAAATTACTACCTCACTTTTGTAAGTATTTTAAGGAACTTGGTTCTTTACGTTGTATTACAAAATATTTAATCCAAACTGATTAGGTTGTAAGTAATATGTTTCTTATTTTAAATTTGAACAAGGTGTTTGTTAAGTAAACCAAAGTATTAAAAAAATTAAAAGTGCGTACTGTATGGAAATAAATGTGTCATACTTAAAGGGGTAAATCATACTCAAATTGCTTTTGTATTTAATTTAATTTTTTAATTATCGACAGGAACAGTCGAATATGAAGAAATACATTCTTTTAGACAGCCTCGAAATGATGCGGTCGTTTGCCATACATAAAAAAAACAAAGGTGTCAAATATATGCAGATTATTTCTCTATCTATATCGCAGAGCTGTATCACAGATACAATATATCCTTAAATACTACTGAACGTTCTATGCATGCATCAATTACCCACATGTGAGCTGTTTGTGACACTTTCCGTTTTTTTTTTGTTTCTACGAATGCAGAACAGTTACAAATTCCAATCTGTGGAAATGAACCCCACTGATGTGGTAGTTGAAGTAGGTGCCGCGTACATTTTGGTAATGTGTCTTTGTCCAACATTTTGGCAAGTGAAAACGTGCTTTTAAATATATCGATATGCAGCATCCACACGATGCGACATTTATGAAATTTTTGTATATAGAGAAACACACATTCTGTATCAATTTCCGAATCATGAATTTTAATAAATCGTATCTGATGAATCTTTGAGAAAAAGGGCGCCAATAGAACAAACATAGCCATGGTCTGTCTGAACATTCATACATTTTGTTTATTGAGAAAAAGTTCATCCATCTTATCAAAACAATTTAAAAAGCAGGTAAGCACATTTTTTTAAATTCATAATTCTATATAATCCTAACCTACAGTTTTACGAAACACACAGATCAAAAAAAGACTCTGCAATATGAGTCACGAGACAGGAGACCTTAAGTACCACCTATGCAAAAATTTGGCTTATCTTTTGTAAATACAGGGTGTTAATGAACTTACGTCAAATATTTTTGCCACATGTCCGTAATTAATTTTAAAAGCTGACTTACCTCAACATTGCAAGGAGCCACCTTTCGTGTAGAATTTCGATAGTCCAGTGGTGAGTGTTGTGGACGTTACGTATACCATTTCGACTGAAACATGCTTCATCTGTAACAAGTATTTGCGCTGTAAATTGAGGATTTCTTGCATGTTCCTGAAACAACCATTCGCAAAAATCTCGACGTATAGTGGATATCCTCAGGAGTAAGCGTTTGAACAAGTTGAATATGAAATGGGTACAACTAAGTTTCTCGTAATGTCCGTCACACAACAGGATGCGAAATATAGGTATTTACTTGCTGTGCGATATTTCTGGTGCGGAGGCACGTCGTTTAGGATATCTTGCACGGAACACTTCATAAGCTCTGTGTGTATTTTCGTTTGCTTTGCCATAAATTTTGAGCTTATCATAATATTCGCGATTGCTGAATAAATGCGCCATTTTCAAAAGAAAACTTAAATGTAATCTCGAAAAACAGCGCAGCAATCACTACAACAATGTATTACAAACTGAGTTTCGCACACAGTCCGGCTTCATAAGTAATCTACAAACTCGTAAAGTGTTACAGAATTTGTTGTAAGTACTCGCCGCTATAAAATACATGTATTTCAGCAGTTCCAAAACAGTTTTAAACACATTTTTAATTAGCTTTTTTCTCTATGACCTTAAACTTCCGATACAAGTTTGTGATCTCAGTTAACTCAGTTTTTGCTCCTTTTTCACCCCTTTAAATTTTTGACATAAGTTCATTAACATCCTGTATAGTTTTTTAATGAAGGTTTTATATTACCTGTTTTTGTGGCAGTTGCGGTTATAGGTATCATTTTAAGAACAAAATATTACTCTTGTTTACTTTTTGTTACACCTTGTATATACGTATGAGAAACAGGAAATTACTGAAAAAATATGAATGTTAGTATTTAAAATCATTTAACTTTACACTTTCGATATATTTCTTTCATAACAACAATTTTTCATAATACAAGAATGCAGTTCCCATAAATCAAAATAATAATTATTCAATGTCCTCTAATATACCGCACGAATTAAAGAATGAAAAAGCTTATGTCATAATCATGCGACAAGGGGTACAGCACTAACAATTTAAATAATAATAACAGTAAATACGGTGAATGACAACCACCGCTCGAACGATACATAATCCTCACTGTTGATATAGGAAACCATGTGATCGTCCAACAATAATATAAGGGTGTGACAATTTTTATAATTCGCAGGGGTGTAGCAAATCGTTTCTATGTAATATTCAATTAAAATATTAATTCAGGCATCATGTTCTATACATCATTTGTTCTGTTATAAAATGGAAGGAGAAAAATATAAAATAATATGAGCAATAATATTTAATCACCATATATTTTTTCTATTATTTTTTTCCGAAAATTATAGTTTTTAATTAATCACTTACAAAAATAAATAGGTGTAAAAACTAATAACAATAAAAAATATGGATGTATCTAATTAAAAAAAAAAGATTTATGAAATGGGGCAATTTTGTAGAAAATTATATAGTTAGATAATAATTCATATTAATCTAAATTATTAACACTTTTTCAATATTGCATTTATTCTAAAAGTGTGTATACAGAGATCATTCAATTTTTGATCTATTTATTTGTCACTTTTATTATATACCAACTGGATTTTTTTTCTTCTACAGTGTGTTCACGGATAATAACCCGGAGGGGGGATACTTTATTTTTGATTATTTCGAGTCATTATCGACACAAAAATTGTCTATAGAAACATAAATTGAAAAATAATAAATTGTGGAACAGTTAAATACGAATTGTTTGAATTTGAACTAGAAGTCCAATTTATTATGAAATTACAATTTTTTAATAGCAAACAACTTGCCACTTTACTCTTTCTCATATATCCTTACATAGGTATATCAGAATCGGATTCTTTCGGAATAAGATCGAAATCTCAGCGGACACGTTTCCCAAAAGAAAAAAAGAAAAAAAAATCAAAAATGAATGAATAGTTTTCCCATTAAAGTGTGGTAATGATTGTTGAAATTCAGCAAATTTATTGCCACAATCGATTCATTTGCATCTTCTCCAAAACCGAGAGTTGCTTCTATAAAATATTTGCAACAAATGGAGCGAACTACTATATCTGCATTTGGAGACTATTTTTCTTTAAATTACCTACATTCTTATCCTTAGATTCTAACCTACAATTATAAGAACACCTACAGCCTTTTTCTTTTGTTGAAAATCGCATACACAAGCTGCTGCTGGTTTTATTACAAAAACCTGAACCTAAGCATATCCTCCTCGTTACTTAAGCAATTTTTTTATAATTTTTCAAAAGGAACAAAAAGTAGGTCTCACGGGAATAACCCATACAGTTCCAGTAAACAATGCGGGCCTTCCCGTTTCCGCAAACCTCAAGTACACGTTGATCTGTCGAGTGGCTCAAAAGTAACACTTCATCTCCGTGTGTGGTGAACATCCAAACATTGCAAATACGCTCTTGATACATCATCCATTAAGTACCTATTATTACGGACGTCGGGAGTGCCATGTGAAGGTGTATACAATACCCACAGCTTCCTTCTGGTAAAGGTAACCTACGTAGTAGAATATATTCATAAAGAAAGAGAATATTTGAAAGATATTGATACAAATATATCGAAGTTTGAAGTAACTTTGTCTAAACGAGTTGTATTTTCCAAATAAGTATATGAAATTAACATTTTCTGCCATTTATAAATAAAATATTTATCACTTTACAGTTTTAATGTGTAACTTTTGTAAGGCTTCTAAAAACACTGAAAATCTTTTTTTGGTAATGGCAGGAAGTTGATGGTATGGATTAATAGAAACTATTAAAGATATTTCAAATTTATCATAACTTCATGGTTAATTTAATTTTCATAATGTAAAGTTATTATTCTGCATTTTTAATGAAACCGCTGGCAAATTTTTCGAAAATATTTTTTGAGAGGAATTCGACTGGAATTAATAAAGATGGTTAGGACAGTAGTGAAGATGATTACTGTATTGAAAATTACAACGAAAAAGAGAGAAAAGTTGAATAAAAATTTTAGAGACATGTCAAATTTGCCATTTCCTTTTCAAACTATTTAATAGTGCTAGAACGCGGAAAAAATATATAACAAAAATTTACACAATTGTAGCACCGTTGACTATAATTTATATACAAAATACTGTTAACTAAATTTTAGTCACAAGTTGTCATTTAAAGTGTTGTATTTAACTTACAACAACACAATTTTCTTAAATATAAGTTGCGAATTCATTTGGACAATAATAAAATTTACTACAACAAAAGTTATCCGTTTTTTTTTGTGGAATTATACAAATATGCTGTTTATATGTAATTTGAGATAGTTTCTTACAGAAAATAAAAGACCACAATAATATACCTAATCATATTTATAAGGCCTTTTTTCGTGCATTATTAATGTCAAATTAGGTATTTTTAAAATTAGAATTTATTACAAACTAGTTCAAATTTATAGTTATCCTGCAATTTTATTTTTTATTATTTATTTTTTAGAATGTTAAAACATGTGTCCAAATTTTACTTTAAGTTTGTTCTGTTGAATACCTATACCTATGTATTTATTACATAGGTACATTCCTATACGACTGCGAAATATCTTCCAAAAAATGTGTTTAATGACATTATCTATAGTCATCACTTTTCACTCTCTCTCTCTTTCTCTCGCTATCTCAAAAGACAATATCAGAGCTACTACAATTCTAAAGTTTAATGTTTTAAGGATCATTGAAAATGTAGTCGTCAAATTTGGTAGAATTAGCTTCCTTATAAAGTTATTTATTTTCAGAATTTGAATAAAAAGATCCAGTGGAATCTGAATTAGTGGGAAGGCGACACGAGAAGCATCTTCTCTTGACGTTACTTTCTTTGTGCTCATTTTTTTTTGTAAAATTCCTCATTAGTTTAAGATTTTAGATTTTTTATTTTCTAGAGATAAGATTGATTTTCCTCATTTCATAATAAGTACGAATGTAAAACTTTTACTCATATAAACTTGGTTTGTGGCAACAACGTTGTTTCTTTATAGCTTCTACACTTTTAACAGCAGACGAAAATAGACAACACTTATAAAAGTTTTGGTTGCAAGTTGTCTATTTCTATTTTCATACGAAATCCATCACATGCCTTTTAATTTCAACCCCACTGGTTAGTTTTTGTTCAAATAAGTAATAATAAAAAATATTTAGGGTCCTAAATATTTATTATCCTAATAATATTTATAGTCCTAATATTTATTAGTGTATGTCAGTTATAGAAATAAATAAATAAATATCTACTTAGGTGTGTGAATAATGTTTCCTTATTTTTCTCATTTTTTCTAGGATGGGCGCTGCGCATTCCGACAAAACACCATTAGCGTTTTTGTTTACTATGTTGAAAAGGCTCAACCTAGCAAGTTTGTAGACTCGTGTATGTATTTGGATTTAAATATTTTTATTTGAATAAGAATAATAATTTTTTAAGTCTTAACGTCTCAGTACGATTGCAGGTGAATGACAGAGAAATTAGCAATTCAAATACGAACATTCTATTTTTTCCTTAGACAACCTGTAGATTTACCATATCATTGTAAACTGTAAGTAAAAAAGTAAGGTTTATTAGTTGACTATAAAAGTATAAAGTATAAAAGTACCCCTATCCCTCTACTAAGCATATTTCTAGATGCGTAACTGAAAGCTTTAGCTTCATGAGAAATAAGCAAACAAATTTAACTTTCTGTAGATATATTTTAAAAATTATTTAATTTGTTGACATAAATTACAATAAATTTGTTGAAACATAAGTATAATACTATTCTTAGTAGCTTCCAAGGCTTTGCTAATGCTATAGCTTATTTTTTATAGAAATTCTTCTACCCTATACGTGACCCAGTATCGCTCGACCATTATATTTCACTGTAGAAAAAAGAACTTTAATTTTATTGATGAAAATTGAATTACCTAATTGTCCCATATTTGTACTAAACAGTCATTTTTGTATTCGAGTTGATTTACTTACGCAGTGACTTAGTTAAGTTTCTACAACAATTAATCATCAGATATTTTATTAGAGAAGTTAATCCAAAGTGACATGAAGAACCGAGAGAATTTTCTATGATTTGTTCTCGATAGATTAAAATTATTTCGTTTCTATCAATGTGGAACATTTTGTTACCAGTCACTAGATCTAACAGACCTTTACATATTTTTCTAAGTGATTATTATCTGCACCCTCTCATTGGAATAATAATAAGTTGCAAGTGATACTTAGCAATAGAGCGAATAAAAAGTTTCGTCGTAAACAAACATAAATATTTACTTTTGCAGAGTATTTGTAACAATAATTAAAGAGTTATAACCTGTATAAGATTCTGTGTTATTTAATTTTTATCTTTCCAATCATACCACTTTTTAGATGTTCTAATTGACGACATCATCTCCTCACACGAAATAAAATATAATAATATAATAAAAATCTATTTCATTTGTAGACAGTATAAATAAATATATTAATAAAATGACACTAGCACCTTCCAGGGTTTTGAGAGCACCATCTCGGCCAAATAGCCTCAGATTTTATTCCTCTGCTCTCCAGTCTTTGCCTGTGAACATCGAGCCTCTGATAGACATCATCTCTGTTAAAATTAATGGGATCACTCCATAATCTCTCAGCCATCGCAGCTGCCCTCGGCCATATCCTAGTTTCTAACGAGTCAACTTCAACCATTTCAGACCACAAACAAGCTTCACCTCCCAGAACTTGATTCTTGTACTCAGAAAATTCAGCCGCCCACGGTTGATACTTGTAAAATGTATGCCAAGTAGCATAGGGATCACACACCCCACTGTCACCAGCAGTCTTCCAAGACCCATAGCCGCAATCCAAGTACCAGCGTCCTACTGTAGAAAATATTACTTTATTGCCATTTATCAAAATTGGAAGAATTGCCCCATACCAATACTGAACTACAACGTTCTCTTTGTACTCTAGTTGTTGTACGTACTTGCTCGTTAAATCGCTGGACCAAAGAATTATATGCTCAGGTACTCGATATTTGTTGGCTGATATTAATGTGTCAAACATTTTGTTGGTAAAGTTAGTCCAAAGTGACATTGTGCTTAATGAATCATTTACGAATTGTTTCCAGCAGGTTAAATTTACCTCGTCTCCGCCAATGTGGAACATCTCAGTATCCGTTCCTAGGTCTAACAGATCTTCATAAATTTCTTCAAGTACTTGCAGTGACTCATTGTTCTGTGGATTTAGATGCCCATTAAAGAGAGCATCTTCTCCGCATATAACCAAACCGTCTTTGACTTTATTCAGGTTTTCGTTTACGTGACTGGGTGCATCTACTTCTAAAATTGTTCTGATTCCTCTTATTCGAGCATACTCTACCAAATCTGAAAATGAATAATTGTATCAAAAAATGGGTGATTTCTTTTCTTGGATACTAGGTTCCAATGTGATAACCAGTAAAAAATTTCAGTTTCAAGATTTTTGCTTAAAATTCATTTTACACAAGTCATTTAACTAAAAAACTCTGAAACAATATAATACTATTTAATGTTTTAAATAATATCATCATTGTTAATATAAAACAACGTAACAATATTTAAGAGCCCCCTCAAAAAATCAGCTGAAAAAAAATTTAGAGGTCGCTCAAGATTTTTCAAAATTTCCAAAATCGTCAAAAATTGAACTTTTTTCTCGTTATTTTATCATTTTCTAGGTTGAAAAAAATTTCGATTCTGAAAATTTCAAATCGATATTTTAATTTCTACAGGTCACTCATAATTATTTTAACTTTAAATAAATATCAACGAACTAATAATTTTTTTTATTGAAACCATCATTGAACATTTTTTCAATTTACATTTCATTTTTGTTGGCATTTTAACATGGAATGTATATGAGACTAATATTAATTTTGATAACACGCTGGCACATGTGGATACACTGATCTCAAGATGAGAACAAAAACGCTATTTAATCAGATTGTACGAATGATGGAGAAATTTTGCAGAAATAAAATAGAAGAGCTATCTAAGAGATTTCTAGGAATTAAACAATTAAAAATAAAGAAATCACAAATTTAAAATGATGTGTCAATCAAGAAAACTTTGCATTTAACAGTTTTCATTGTAAATTACAAAATTCTATACACATATTTTATACAAACATCCCGTTGTTGAGAAATTAAACAAAAATAAATAACTTTTATCTATGATTCACTGCTAATGAGTAATGAACTTTGTCGTGGATTTTGGTCTTTTAACTGTGAACGGTAATAGTTGTAACCACTTAGCCTCCTTTTACTCCAACGCCATTGGTTTTTTTATTACATCTATATTTGAAGTATACACGAGGTGTGTAAATTTAGTAATAAGAATTTTTATTCGAATAGAATTACAATTAAGTCCCCAACAAAATAAATCCTCAAATACTGGATTAATCTACATCTGGTCATCAGTTACAGCCATTTGAATATTCTCAAGTGTCCGCTCCTTGAGACGATTTCTTAAACTCGGGAAGAGAAAAAAGTCACAAGGACTCAAGTCCGGAGAGTAACGAGGCTGAGGGGCCACGGGAATATTTTTACTGGCCAAAAACCAGTTTATTGAAATTGCTATGTATGGCGCATTGTTGTGATACAGGATCCAATTGTTCTTGATGTTTTGTTTCATACGCATGAGCCTTTTTCGGAGTCTTTCAAGAACCTCTCGGTACAAATGTTGATTGACACTGTCTGGCCTTGAGGCACAAATTCTTTGTGAACGATTCCCTGGCAATCAAAGAAGCAAATCAGCATGCTTTTGATCTTCCTGATTCCTGCTTTTTCGTGCTTCAGAGGCTGAAGTTTAGCATTCCATGCTCGGGCGTTTCATTTCCGGGTCGTACTCAAACGCCCAACTCTCATCACCAGCAATGACACGTTCCAAAAAATTTTGATCATTTTCGTTCGATTCCAAAAAGTCAAAGGATCTTTCTCTCCTGATGTTCTTTTGTTCCTGCGAAAGATTATTTGGACCCATTCCAATTCCAGTCAAAACCTGATGGACGGTGGTGTGACTCAAATTCAATTGTTCCTCGATCATTTTTACAGTCAACCGATGGACGGTCTGAACGTACAAGATCCCTGATTCTGTTAACATTTTCATCGGTCCTTACAGTTGAAGGCCTTCGGCTGCGTGGTTCATCTTCCATCGATTGCCCTCTTGACAAAATAATGTCTCCGTAGGCCTGCTGACGTTTTGCAAAAGTTTCTGTTGCACTATGCTCAACTGTGAAGCAAAATTTGATAGCATGCCGTTGCTGAAAATTAATGTGACTCATTTTTAGGACGCATCTTGAAAGCCGGTTTCACTAGAAAAATGACTACGGACAGCCAAATGACTGGACCCGTACGGAACACGTATCACATGTTCACCTGCCGTCCCTCCAAGTCCCACGATTCCAGTGTTGCCATATCGAACGCAACGTTGTCAGTCTCATTACTAAATTTACATACCTCGTTTCTTCCATGGTATATGAGGAATCCAAAATTAAGTTAAAAATGTTCTTCACATTCAATGTGTGGACTGTAAATTCTTTCGTTTTAAAAGAGATGGTTATTCCATATCACTGTACTGTTTATTTTGACGAAAGGAATAAGCCTTGAAGTTTTATGACAACACCGTACACCTATGTGGTCATAATGTAATTGCGCCCATAAAGCATCTGTGTCCGTAAAATAATGTCATCTTAAAAGTAACAATACTTAAACCTAAGATACTGATTTATCGAAGCGAAGCCAAATCGTTAAGCATCTTTTTTTGTTATTAAAACATAATAAGAAATAATCATTTTAACAAACTTATTTACTCTCTGTGCCTATCTAATTTAACTTTTGATTGCTTGTGTCACAGAAGAAACGATAATATGTGTGAAAACTAAACAAGACATCAATTTTAGATCCCAGTTTATTTTAGCAGATCTAAACAAGTCCTAATGAATACACAATTTTTTTAATCACGGTTTTTATTACTTCCGCCAACTGTATTAGGTTTACTATTATAATATTGAGTAAATACAAATTTTAAAGTCTAGAAGACGAATTAATGTTCATGGGTACGTTAAATGTTACTTTGACGCCTAAGAAGTTTAACAAATATTTTCTTAGGCCCCAAAGTAGTGTTTAAAACATATGTTAATTGCATAAGAATTACTTTGCATATAATATGCAGCTTAAAATTATATATGTTATTATAAGTTATGATGTTGCAAGGAGCCTCTGGTATAATAAAATGAATGAAACAAGGTTACTGTTCCAAACAAAATTACTGGTCACGTAACTTGTAATCATTTATGACTTCTCTGTATATGATTATCAATTTTTTTTCAAAACTAAGCTTGTTGAATTTTGCTCAAAAGCCATTCATGTATACCTACTATAGATTTAATCGTATTTTCTGTGAATATATTTTGTTTAGTATACAAACCTTTTATGTCTTCACTTCTGTATACCATCTCTGGACTATATGCTCCATATTTTGCAAACAACTCATTTCTAGGCAACACAACAGGAAAACTAGAGGCATCTGTTAAGTGAAGATGGAACACATTCAACTTAGTTGCAGCCATGCCATTTAAAACTTTCTTTAGCTGATCTAATCCAAAGTAGTTTCTTGCAGTGTCTACCATGAGACCCCTGTACGGAAATTTCGGTGTGTCGGTGATCTTTACGTCATGGATTATATTCAGCTTCTCTTTATTTACATCCAACCAAATTAACTGACTTAAAGTCTCTAGTCCATGTCGAGCACCAAAATATGAAGAGGCCAAAATCTTAACTTCAATATTGTCTTCTAGTTTTGTAACTATTAGACGATAACTTTCATCAGTGGAAATTTTTAACTTATTTTCGTCTTTGCTGACGTTTATATAGGTATTAAATTTTAAAGTGTCTCCGTAATCCTCCAAATAACCATCAGTTATTGGTAAGTTTTCCATGAATATGTTCGTAGCTTGTTTCAAGTCGTCTTTGATTTGATCTGGACAATTAAGTTTGATTACTATTCGATTTTTGGTGAAAGATGAAAAACTTTTATTAGTCACTTTTGTGGAGGTCGGTATCGGCCAGAGCGGTAATTTTCCACATAACATATTACATGTTTGAAGGGTAGTTCTCTCTGCGGAGGTATTTTCGTCGAATTCTTTTCGTACGCATACATCTTCGCAGATGTATGTCCATGAGGGATCTGAAAAAATATGTAATTTCTAACATACATATTTGAATAAAAAAAAATTTGAAAATAAAAAAATAAACAGTTTTAATAGTTGATTGCCTCAGTCAGTTTAAGCGTTTGAAATAGGAAATTTTTTGTCCATAGTTATAATAACAAATTCAAGAAGAATGAAATTCAGGGAAGAGATACCCAAACTAATTTATTAATTAATACCTAACACATCTAACTAAGGGAAAATCATATCGCGTGGGTCAAAAATGGTATATTCTCTAACAGAAAATGAAAATGCATTTTTTTTTTCATGATCCATGAGTCATGTCCACGAATCGCAATAGCGTAGGACATGATCAACTGGATATTCTTGATATTTTGCTATAGTCCAGTCATTATAGACATGAAACAGCCTGTTTCGGAAAAAAATACTATTAGAAGTTTTTCTGCGGAATATTGTTCGGAAACGTGTTATAAACAAAATATCAAAAAATCTACTCCAGGCAAAAATCCTGAATTACAAGTGTATGCGATGAAAATTGCATTAGTTATGAGCAATTGAAAAAAACGGCTATTTTCGATCATTTTTGAGCTCTTGGGCATAAACGAATTATCGGAATTTAATCGGACTTGTCTTAATTTACAGATTTATTTAATACCTATCTTTTTTGTATAAACCTTTTTTCTCTAAGAATAATAATTTTTTTACGCCAGTCAAAAAACCACTTTTCCATAACTTTGACCATTGTTTTAACAAAGTTTCCCAACTAGTCTCGAGTTGATTTTTTTAAATTTTGTTTATAATACATTTCTGAACAATATTCCGCAAAAAAACTTCTAATAGTATTTTTTCCCGAAAAAAGCTATAATGACTGGCCTACTAATCATGTAGGTAGGTACTTAAACTTCGTGTTCAATTTAATTTAAAATGAACTATTGTAGAGCACATTAGAGGGCACGGCGATTTTACTTTTGTGGGTTTTTGGCATTATCATTATAATATTTCGTTATTTCTAACAAGTTTATTAAATTCCTCGTTAAATTATGATCTACAAAGTACATTAATTGTTTGTTTATTTTAATTTGTCGTGAAAATGAACGTGTAACTGAATCCTCTAGTATCAAAACCCCTTAAGGACGGGATTTTGTACAAAAAATATCGCCCAGCGTGAGTCACGAAACGGGACCCCGGCAGGTGCTGTTCTAGCGGCCAACGCTTCAAGTCTAATAATTCCGCTGCACCGGATATTCGTCCGATTTTTCAGGAACGGCTCCAATTTGTGTACATACAATCTTATAAGGAAAGAGAGTAAATATTTTATTAATCAGTAATAGATTATCGAGGACAATAATATTTTTTTATTGAGTAGGCAATAATTTTTAGTTAATAAGCTTAAACAATCTTATAATTACTATTCCTTCATTATAAAAACAGAAATACGGTTTTTAAAATTACATGTAGTTTCTTCTTCAAAAGTGACCTTAAAACACGTATAACATGGAATAGTCAACAGTCTAATGTTTATATTTTCACATTAACAATCCGATAATGTAAATTAACTGCTATTTTCAGTAAAAAAATATATACCTAACCTGAAATATTTTTTTACTTTGGCGAGTCGTATTAACTTAAAAACACTGCTTAATTACTAAAATATATAGAATCTTGCTA